GGAGGTTGATTGTAATATGTTCAACAATTGTGGGCATATTATAGAAAAATAATCCTTTTTTTAAGATAAATTATTAATCTTGCAAATAAACCAATTATTGGCAGGTTTGCCTTTCATATGAACTTACCTCAGAAGACTTTGCCTGAGCAGGAACAGAAAGTATTAATTTTGAAATTGCTTCAAACTGTGACAACCCAACTGACAACGATGTAATTCAGTATGAAGAACATCTATAAGCATTTTTAACGTAAATATGATAATTATATGAATCAAACCTTCACTTTCTCCGTCAATCATAAAATTCATAACATCTCTCACTCCATTTGGTCGTAGTAAAATTTTGGTCAAAAATCTGCCACAAACATTTTTGAGCCATTTAGGTGCTGGATGAAGAGGTGACCCTAAAAGCATAGTTAAGGCTTCTAAAGATCGAAATGAATCTTCACTAGTAAGGATATTTGAACAAAAATACATATATATATATATATATATATATATATACAATTAATGTTTGAATAAAGAATGTAATAATGATGAAAGAAATTTACCTTTCAAATATTTTTCCAAACATATTCGCACACTCTTTTCGCATTAATATGAAGTCTCCATGATCCTGTATTTCACTCGCATGTTGACTAGATGTAACTAACTTATTCTCACTGTGCACATCCAATTTATCATTTGTTGGCAATGGCCCGTAAGCCAATTGTAATAAAGCAGAATAAAAATCCGTTAGATGTCTTGCACGTATTATAGAAGATACGGTTGTAAACATTGTCAGTTTTAATGACGATGAATATGTAATCTTCATCAATGATTGCATTAACTTAAATAAATAAATATAACGTGATTGTGGTGGTAATTTTTTTTCAGCTTCGTTTGTAGAGTTATTTGAAAATTCTGGAATTAAATATTACATTCAGTTAGGAGTTATAAGCTATGAAAATTAACGGGGGTTAATACATACCATGCTGAAATTGTCTTGAGCGGGTTCTTCGTGAAATCGGGATACCAACACCAGACATAAGACAAGGATATATTCCCCAACTAATCACTATCTCGAGCATCGTATGGATAAGACTCATATCTTTTATACCCAATAATTCAGGCTCATCGGCTTTATTGTTCTCTTAAACGAAATAAAATTCAGTATTAATTATGGCATAATTTACTCTTAAATATAATTAAAACATATTTATTATACCTTTAAGATCAATAATGTTAATCAATGTCGTTTCTAAAGATCCCAAAATTTCTAAACATTTTTCTACAAATTTTTCTCTTACGCTTGTATCAGAGAGCTCCTTTTGTATAGCTGACTCGGCGGTAATTGTGCTAATTTCATCAGCTTCATGTGCGCATTCATTAGATTTTAATTGGTTTAATCTCGAACTTAGCTTTCCTTCTAGCGAGCCAGCTAAAACCATATAAGATACGCGTTTGTATAATTTAATGATTTACTAAAGTGATTAATTCTATTCAGAAAATACCTCGATTTTCTTCGTTCGATGTTCCTACCAGGATATAAGCTTTATTCAATAAATCAAGCAATTTACCATCAAGATTATTTAAGGTGTCTACTGTATTTACAGGATTTGCCATATTTTTCTTTAAAAGATGTTTAATAATCTGATTTTGGCAATATAAATAACAATGCAAGATATCACATGATCACAACAATTACAAAGATTGTCTGATTGGTTAAATTTTGTATTTTTATAAAGAACACTTTTTGTTAAAATGCAAATGGTGGTTTTCTATGTGGATTTTCTAGTTATAAACGATTTTTGATAAAACAAACGTTTATTTTGACATTTTGAAACAACGCTACTAAAATGCACCTATGGTGTTGAACACCATAATTGGCTATATTCAAAAATGTACTAGCTAACACATCTAGGGGTACTAAGTAAAAATGTTCAGAACCCCCAAAAACCTTA